GGAAACAAAGGGGAAATCAGAACCAAAACCACACAGATGCAGAACTAAGAAAACAAAAGTGGAGACAGTGACAAGAGAGGAACCTGCCAGTCGCACTAACCGATGGGCTGTCAAGAAAAGACAAGCACCACTTCCAGGAAGATCAGCCTGGCCTTTGTGTCTGATAAGGCTGTAAACCCAGGGTGGTCCCGCACAGCAGGATAAGGCTATAAACCCAGGGTGGTCCCGAACAGCAGACAGGGGAAGGGGAGCAGGGGTAGACAGGAGGGGGTGTAGGAGTGGCTGGTTATGTGTAAAACGGAGCAGGTCAGTACGCTTGTCTGGCTGAGCCTTTCTCCTGATTGCTACAGTCTGCCCTATCTTCCTACATCTTCTTATTAATTCTTTTTTTTAATTTTCTCTCTGCCCCTTGTGCATGCATGCTGCAAGGGTGAAGTGCCAGCTGCTGGTGAGAGCTGCGTGTGTGAGTAGATGGGGCGTCTGCTCCTGGAGCTGGGGGTGTGTCTTGGTGCCAGCTACTCGCATGGGTGGGGGTCTCAGCTTCCAGCCTCTGGGGTGGGAATGGTGAGTGTCCCGAAGACCAGCTGCTGTGGTAGAACTGCTTTTTGCCAGAGGCTCCAGATTGGACCATTGTCTCCAGCTGTGGTGTAGAGCACATTTGTAATATCTTTTCCTGGCTGGACTGGCCCAAGGGCTACTGCATGCGCTATTTCTTGTTTAATTTGTTCAAAGGCTTGACGTTGTTCAGGGCCCCATTGAAAGTCATTCTTTTTCCGAGTTACTCGATAGAGGGCTCACTATGTGACTATAATCTGGAATGTACGTTCTCCGAAAACCTATAATGTCCAAGAAAGCTTGTGTTTCTTTTTTGTTGGTGGGGACATTGCTGTTATTTTGTTAATCACCTCTGTAGAGATCTGGCAATGCCCATCTTGCCATTTAATTCCTAAAAACTGGATCTCTCGTGCAGATCTCTTGACCTTACTTCTTTTTATGCAAAATCAGTTTTCAGAAGAATGTTAGTTGTTTTCTTACCTTTCCCAAAGACTTCAACTGCTGTGTCACCCCATACAATCATGTCATCAATGTATTGCAGGTGTGCTGGAGCTTTATCTTGTTCCAAGGCAGTTTGAATCAGTCCATGGCAGATGGTAGGGCTGTGTTTCCACCCTTTGGGTAATCGATTCCAGGTATACTGAATACCCCCCCAGGTAAAAGCAAATTGTGGCCTGCACTGTGCTGCCAAAGGAATAGAGAAAAAAGCATTAGCAGTGTCAATTGTGGCGTACTGCTTGGCTGCCTTTGACTCCAGTTCGTATCGAAGTTCAACCACGTCCGGCATGGCGGCACTTAATGGCAGTGTAACTTCATTTAGGCCGTGATAGTTCACTGGCAGACTCCAGTCTCCATCAGGCTTTTGCACTGACCATATTGGACTGTTAAAGGGTGAGCGAGTTTTACTGATCACTCCTTGATTCTCTAGTTGTCGAATCAGTGTTTGAATGGGGATCAGGGAGTCTCGGTTGGTGCGATACTGTCGTCAGTGCACTGTTGTGGTAGCAACTGGCACCTGTTGTTCTTTGACCTTAAGCAACCCTACAGTGGAAGGGTCCTCTGAGAGGCCAAGGCAAGGAAGCAGCGAGTTAATGTCCTCAGTCTCTACAGCTGCTATACCAAAGGTCCACCGATACCCTTTTGGGTCCTTAAAATACCCTCTTTTGAGGTAGTCTATGCCAAGGATGTATAGAGCATCCGAACCAGTTACTATAGGGTGCTTTTCCCATTCATTTCCAGTTAGGCTCATTTTGGCCTCAGATAACTCTTGAGATTCCGCTGTCACTCCATAACTACTGGTTGACTCTGCTCCTTTATGATTTGATGGCATTATGGTACACTGCGCCAGTGTCTACCAAGGCTTTATACTCACGTGGTTCTGACGTATTGGGCCATCAAATCCACACAGTCCAATGAACTCGTTTGTCCCTCTCCTTCTCCTGGCTGGAGGCAGGGCCCCTCTAGTTACTTTTATTTGAGTCTTTTAGGGAGGAATGGGAATTTCACCTACCCTGTCTGGAGAACTGCCCACTGGAAACCGGAGTAACTTTTCTTTTGGGCATTTTCTTTTTTAACTCGTACTCATGCCTCTAGGTCAGCAGTAGGTTTTCCGTCCCATTTCCTCGTATCTTCCCCCTGGTCACACAGGAAAAACCACAAGTTACCCAGTGACGTGTTCTGTTTCTCTCGAGCTGATCCCAAAAAAGGGCGTCTTCTCCTGACTGCTCCGACATGGGCTCCTGTACTTAGAAGGTCAAGTTTATCAAGTATTTTTTGTAACATGTTCTCTTTTTTCTCAGCTGCTTTAGTCATCGTCTCCACTGCTGAGATGCAGGCCTCTAGGGGGGAAGAGACACTGTCTTCCAACTCCTGCAGTTTGGTGGCCACTTCACCTACAGTTGCTTCCTCACCATCTTATATAAAGTTAATTACTGCCAATAAGTGGACATATGTAAAAGGTGTGCTCTGCACAACCCTCTGCAATAAAGGTCGGATGCATGACAATTTGTCAGGATTTATAATTGTCTGTGGGTCGCTGTGAATTATCTCTCGCACAGCTAGTTCTCCATGGTGGTCCATTTGCTTAGGCGGCAAATGATATCACTCTTACAGGGATACCTGCTCCTCATTGCCCACAAGATTCACCTCCAGAGGCTTTGATTTTCTGCCCTTGGCCCAATCGCCTTATCAATGCCACTACCTGTCTCTGGCCAGGGATCCTAACTGCATGGCTTCTCTGTCATCTAAGTCCGAACTATCAGCCCTGTTATCCCAGCATCGAACCAAACAGGTGGTGACTCACCTTCATGATGGCTAAAATCTTTCTTTATACCTCGCGACTCCTCCAGGGATAAGGATCGGATAACTGTCTCTGGTTCTGATGATGCTGATGCTGTGCCGTCTCCCTGGTCTGGATTTCCCCTGTATTTCCTCTTGGCCACAGTGGTGACTGATACCGCTGGCAGCTGAGTACTGACAGTACCTGCCGTGGGGGTGTGAAGGGCTGCACGGGCAGTCGTCAGGGGTGGAGCAGCTGCAGAGCCTGTTACCGGAGATGGAGCAGCTGCAGGGGCTGTTGCTGGAGATGGTGTGGCCGCAGGGGTGGCTTTCGAGGTGGAGTGGCTGCAGCGGCTGTAGCAGGAGCAGCCATGTTGCAGCCCCTGCCGTGGAGGCTGCAGTAGCTGTGGTGGGGGAGGAGGTTGTATTGGCACAGCTTGCATTGCAGTACCTTGAAAAAGCTACGTTAGTTCCATGGCACTTACGCCTGCACTAAGGTTTAATCGAACACAACACCATTCAGAAAAGCCAAAGAAAAAGCAATGGTTTGATAGTCCCAAGAATATCCAAAATTCCCAAACTCTGGCAAAGTCAGGTTAGTGTAACAAGAAAGGGTATGACTTCTCAGATTAGAGGTATAACTACTAACGAAGTCCACAAGGTAACTCCTGTAGTACTCAAATGAACTTGTTGGCACTGGTTCGGGTTTTGCAATTTTCAATTTCTTGATTAAAATGAGAAATCTGAATGATAATGGCCGATCTTACCACAATAAAGCTCAGTAATAAGACCCATAGCACAACAATGCCTTTCCTCTTATGTCTAAAATTCATAAACGGCACGAAACCAGTGGCAAACAACCCAAACAGTACCATGACAACTAGGTCTGAACGAAGCTCTAAAAAGACATCATATAGTATCAAGCTTAATGTCACGGCACTTGGCATGGTGAATGAAAGCTGCCTGCTTTAATTCCAAACTCCTCAAAACTCTCAAAGAAAAACCTTGTACTTTCTTAACAGAGCCTGATCTCTTGCCATAACCTGAGTTTGAGCTCAGACTCACTCTCAAGCCCTTAGCCCCGCGTTGGGCCCCAGTAATAATCTATCATGGTTTAAAGCAGGGTGGCAATAAACTGAGTGGCAGATGCTCTCTGTTAACCCCCACCCTCCCACCCCAGGAAGGGAAAAGGAGGAAAAGGGAGAGAGACTTAACCAACTGAATATAAAAAGTTTTACTAACAACACTATTAATATTAACAATAATAAGAGATACAATGCAAAATATACAAAACCGATACTGAGTTTTCTGGAGTTGGGTGCTGGATGCTGACATCCCACCAGTAGCTGCCAGGCAGCACCAGGCAGTCCCAGACTGGCCTCAGCAATAAACAGGAACTGGACTGAGGGACACACGGTTTGGAATCACAGGCGGGACAATGAGCAGGGTCCTCTTCAGAAGGCGGCCATGGACGAAGAGAGCGAGACCCTCGTGATCTCCCAGCTTTAAACGGAGTATGACGTGCGTGGCATCGAATACCGCGTTGGCCAATATCGGGTCACCTGTCCTGTCCGCCCTTCTCCGCAAGTGCGACTCTTTACGACTCCTCACTTGCGGGACCTGAGAGGTCTGTTGGTGACCTTGGCTGCTATAGTGATAATTATTAACATGAGCCTTTTTCTGCATTCCTTGCCTACTGATAGCTCAGTGTAACTATAAACGTTAGGAGTTACCAGCTTTGGAGCGGACACTGTTTGTAAAAAATGCAGCCAGCTTCAGAAAAATGCAGTTACTTAGAACAACTTAGCTGTAAGGAAGATTCACTAAAAGAGAATTGGTTCTGTTTTAGCCAAAACTGGGACAGAACGTCATGATCCATTCTCCTTCTTGACTTTAGAAGTTGTGTTTTACTTTGATATGAAAACCTTTTGCTGTCCAGACCACCGGGAAGATACGGTGATCTTTTGCTCTGTGCTAATGGATCAGGAATTCCACTGTTGCAATGCATTTTTGTTGTTAGCTTTGTTTAAATTGATAGATTTGGCTAATCTTACTCTTCTTTCCCGACAGCCGATTTATTTTGCACATTCCAAGTGAAGAGAGAGACAATGCAATCAGAGTGTGTTTTCAGATTGAACTTGCCCATTGGTTTTACTTGGATTTCTACATGCAAAACACACCAGGATTACCTCAGTGTGGGATAAGAGACTTTGCTAAAGCTGATATCCTTTTTATTACTGTGATTGTTTTCTGTCTCAGTGAATAAAGTGCAAACTGAATATTGTTAATGAAATTTCATACTTGCAGCAGGAAAATGTCAGTTCGTGTGTTAGCGATCAAAAGTATTGCTAGATATGATTTTTATCTGTTCATTGCTTCTGTTATTTCATGGCATCCACAAAAGAGATTTTTCTCAGACTGCTAAAGAACCGCAGTGTTTTGGTTTCGGCTGCCGCCGGCAACAAAAGCGCCACGCGGCCGCCCCTCCCCCCGCCGGCATGCGGAGGGGGATGCCGCTGCGCCCTCCCAAGCCGCAAGTGAGTTCCCGCTGTCCAGCTCCCCCCCACTGGAACCCAGCATGACAGCACATGGTATGGAATACCTGGCTCTGTTTGGCCAGGTGGGGTCAGCCCCCACCCCCCGGCTGTGCCCCTTCCTGGAGTCCGGTGAAAATCAACCCTGTCCTGGCCAAACCCAGGACACGCAGAAAACAGGTAATTTCTGATCTTTGAGGACTTGTCCTCATGGTTGCACTTTGGCAGACTAGGTGGGTTTCAAAGATGAGCTGTTACAACTCTACATGGTGTTTTGTCTCCTGAATTCAATCCCTTTCTAAGTAAACAGTGACATAAATGTTAACATGGCTGAGGGTGGTATGTGTTCCCCCATGGGCGGTGGTATAGATTTGTTGGAAGTACTGACGGTTGCTCCTAGAAACAGTTCTGTTGGTAGGGGAGAGGGTGCTTTTTTCCTGACTTCATACGGCTGGCCTCTGCTTTTTTCATTGCTTGCAAGGGCCGCTGGAACATACACAATCTAGTCCTTGCTAAAGGAAAAATTCATGTCTTTCATCCAGCAAGTGTTTTAGTTTTAACCTTTTCCCATATATTCTTGATGTGGGATTGGAGTATTGCTTCTAACTTACATCATAATGTTATCAGTGATTTCGCTGCACAAAATGCTTCGTGATAAGATTATATGTGGTTCCACTACACAATGTACTTGTCTGCATCCGTTAGTTTGATAACAGAGACTTACTGTGAACACTACAGCTTTTATTTTAATAGTGAACTGTAAAAATGTGATAATTTTCTGTTGCTTGATATTATGCAGGTTTTTTTTTTAGGTATGTTTTTAATTACAAATGTATTTTCAGACCAACAGAATTCTTCCAGTAATTGTAGGCAGTGCAGGAAAAATACAGTGCAGTAGCTGTTATTTGTTCATTACATCTGTCCCTCTCCAGCTCACACTTGCCAGAAATAGTAGTTTTGCTGCAGTGTAATATTCTTAAGTACTCTGCTATGGAATATTTTTTATTGATAGCATGATTTATATGTAATAGGACTGGTAGATTTGCTTTCAAAGTTTTAGAGTTATAAAGGTTGTTCACGTTTTCTCTCCATGGTGAGTTTTGGTAAAGTGTATTAGATTTTATATGTCTGTAACTTGATGCCATTAAAAATATTTTTGGTTTTTTATAGTAAGTACTTAGGTACAGATTCTGTACTGTAGTCTAACAAATGATTGTGGAAAAAATATTTCCACTTGCTTCAACCAGGAGATGAAACTGTATTTTTGTCTGTCTCACTTCAAAATGAAAAAAATGCATGTAAGAGTAACACATATTCAAAATAACTGTTGTGTGCATCCTTTTTATTCAGAATTAGAGGAGACCTTCCTGCAAATAAGCAGCCTTGTGCCATCTTTTTTCTTGTCTTTTTTTTTTAATTGGCTTGTATTAGAATTGCCAAATTACTTGATGCTTTCCGATCTTTAGAGTTTGGTAATGGATTATTCATTATTTACTTCCAAAAGAATGTATTTTGAAAGCACTTAGGGGTTATTGTTAATGTTGAGTGGGTATCTTTTGTATGTCTGTGTGTGATTTGAAACGGAATGCTTGTCTTCCTTAACACGCTTCTGTACTCTTCAATCACTGTCCTTTTTTACTGCCTCAAGGTGAAGATGTGCAGAAGGTTTTAGATGAGTGGAAAGAATACAAAATGGGAGTGCCAACGTATGGTGCAATTATTCTTGATGAGACACTTGAAAATGTAAGTTGTGAAGGGCTAGAGGGAAGGATGGTGTATGCTGGTAGAAGTAATCTTTTTGTTGTTTACATTTTTCATCTGGAGAAAAAAAAAAGTGCTTCAGATTCAGGAAGGCCTGACAGTTACTTGACACTGTTGTATGTGTACAGAAATATAATATGGAAGACAGTAAACACACTTGGGAGTGCTTTCCTGCTCAGTTTTGTTTTTCTGATTCTGACTTGCATGATCCCTTAAAAGATTTCACGGTTCTTGCTAGAACACAGAAAACCTAGTGCGTTCCTTCCTGCAGGCTAAAGTATCTTTCTGGAGAAGCATGGGACGGTAAAGGGAAGACATTTCATAGAAATTGGTTAGAGTAGTGGGTGTGTGACAGTTGTATTCTCTTGTATTTTGCAGGTTCTTTTGGTTCAGGGCTATTTAGCAAAGTCTGGTTGGGGATTTCCAAAAGGGAAAGTAAATAAAGAAGAGGCTCCTCATGACTGTGCTGCTAGAGAGGTAAGTTATATTTGATTCCCTTGAATTTAAGCTAAAGAAGTGAAATTTTGCTGAGAGCAGGATATATGCATTAGATGAAAAGACATTTTATTTAGCTGTCTCTTTGTTGATATCAGGTAAATAAATACTGTATTCTTGCAGGGGTCTTCTGCTGTAGCTTTAAGTGCTTTTCTGAGTTCCAGAGTGATAATCAAGGGTATGGTTGTGTAATTCAAAATTGCTGTTAGATGTTTTTAATTGTTTTGCACTAATTTGCCAAGCTAAGTGAGTACTATTTTTAAAGTTCTTTGCTGAACTATCAATTTACTTTTAAGTATTATTTTTGATGCTTGGGAAATCTTAGTACTTTGTGGCTTTTGGAATATTAATTTCAAGGGCTGCCATAACTGTAAAAAGGTAGAAGAATGGGAATTTGTCTTATGTACAATAGGCTATGTAAAGAGGCTAAGGAGCTCAGCTGGAGGTTGTAGAAGATTGTGTAAAAATTGTGAAGAACTTTACTTTTCTATTTTTCAGTGATGCAGGAACAAGGATCAATATGGCAAGTAAAATCTGAAAAATAAAATAATCTGTGGGATTTATTGCTGCTGGAGACCTAGATGCATAGTGAAGCTGCATATTAAAAATAGCTCATAAAAGAGTATTACTGGTATAAACTCATGTGACATAATACATTCAGAATTTTTGAGAGGGAAAATTAAGATGAGGGAAAGTAGTAAGATGCATTTGTTTTCTTCACTGTTGGACTGAATCGGTATCTGAGAAGTCATGGATTTTTTTTTTTTTTAGTATACCTATCAAAGATGCATGAATGAAAATTCTGCATTTCTGATTCCCTGATGGTGCTTTACATACCACTCATATTTAATATGGACTTGGAAAAGCAAAACAAGGTGTTAGATCTTAACATTGCACTGCTATGTGGTGGACACACATGAAGTACACTTTTATGTTAGCAGTTACTGATCTCTTGAGTGTAGAACATTATTTATATAGAATCAAATGACTTGCCAAAGAGTGAAACACCTGAGTTGCAGATGCAGTGGACTGTCATTACAAAACTCCAGAGCTGGGGAAAGAGGAGCAGAGAGAGACTTAATAAGGTTTACTTGTCCAAAACCAGGACAGTTGATTATTCAATGCATGCCTCTTTCACTCTGCCCTGTAAATAGCTTGTTCAGCTGACCTTTTACTAGTCAGGTGCTTTTAGGGTTCATCTAAAGGACTGAACTGAAGGGAGAGACCATAAAAAATATATGGACCACAACACAGTGGACAGGACAACCTAGGTATAACTGCTTCAGGACGCAATGACATGAAGTATACCTTCCTCTTTGCTTCAAGTTATGCTAGCAAAAACATTAAAGTGGTTACAGTTGTACTGGGAGAAAAATCTTTTGATGGTGTTTTTAATTTGGAGAATTCATTTAGGTTGCACTGGCGAACAACGCTGTTGCTATGGTCTTTTTCCATCAAGGCAGATCGTCATTGTGCATAAACTGCAAATTCTTCAAGGCTTACATGTGGCCAGGGATGGAGATATCTGTAATATCTGTGCATAATTCTTTTAACTGCTTTTGCTGCAGTCAGCAAAGGTCTACAACCATAAACTGCATGTGTGGAAGGTCTGGTTGAAGAGGTCTACACTGGGCAGTGCCTGCACAGTTCAGTAGTATTGCAGAAGTTGATGAGGGAAAAACCATGCTAAAAGGATGATTCTCTTGGTAAAAGGAGTTTCTACAATGAATTCACTTAAATCGAAAGATCATTTAGGAAGGGAAGACATTGGTGTTAGTAGTAAGTATGGAGGAAATGCATGTCTTCTCGTAATTGAGACAATGCGTGGTGAGGGTTTGTTTTTTTTTTTGTTTCTTGGGTTTCTTTCCCCTAAATTCTGTTGTTCTTAATGTACTTAGATGGGCAGATGGCTTGCTTTATATTTTGATATAAGAGGGATTGTGCTACTTTGAAGACTAACTGGTTAATTATTTGCTTTGTACTTAACACTTCTATATTTTTCCATATTTGTGCTTAATTTCCTCTGCATTTAAAAAATGGAACTTACAGCCATTTTGCTGATACCCTCACTATTTTTCATAGCATATTTTGAGTATTTTCTACTATTATTTTATATGCAGTTATTTGGTTCTGTTTTTCATTACACAGGAGATGGAGGTTGAGAAGAGGTTTTACTGAAGATCCTATCCCTAATTCTAAAGCTGGTCTTTAAAAAATTTAACTGAGGACATCTGCCTTTGGATTATTGGCAATGGGACTTAATAGCCCTGGGGTTACTATTCCGTTCTATGAGTGATTGTTCACATGCGTGTTCCACTGTCTAGGCAGAAATACTTTGGACAGTGATACCAATCTCGCATGTTTCCTGAGTACTTACATTTCCTACATAATCGAGCAAAGGAGGCAGGAGACCTGCATGGTTAAATAAGGAGCTTCTAGCGGAGATCAGGCAGAAGAGAAAGGTCCATGGAATGTGGAAAGAGGGACAGGCCACTTGGGAAGAGTACAGAAACGTGGTGAGAGCATGCAGGGATGCAACGAGGAAGGCCAAGGCTTACCTGGAATTGAAGCTGGCAAGGGATGTCAAAAACAACAACAAGGGCTTCTTCAACTACATCAGCAGCAAAAGGAAGGCTAGAGACAACGTGGGGCCGCTGCTGAATGAGGCGGGTGTCCTGGTGACGGAGGATACAGAGAAGGCAGAGCTACTGAATGCCTTCTTTGCTTCAGTCTTCAGTGCTAAGACTGGCCCTCAGGAATCCCAAGCCCCGGAGGTAAAAGAAGAAGCCTACAAAGAGGACGACTTTCCCTTGGTTGAGGAGGACTGTGTGAGGGATCGCTTAAGCAATCTGGA